TATTATCTTGCTCAAGGTTTAGTCTTGCTTGTGGCTACCCAGGTTAATGAGTAACGAGGCAGGAATGTTTGACTACTGTGTTCTTGACCGCTGGCTTTAGTCTACGTTTTGATGAAAGTAACTTTGATGTTTTAAGTCAAGAGCTGTAGGAAAGCATAACATGCGTCGGGTTCACGAGCAGCACATAAAACCATTTGGTTGTTTAAATAATAATCTGCTAGATACTGTAGCCCCAGTTTTGTAGAAGTCCTTTGGCGGGAGGTGAAAAACCTGCTACACTTTGCACTTGGCCTGGCACTGCTGTGCAGGCTGTGTGTGTGCCCTCTTTGCTACCGCTGCCATGTTATCAGCATTCCAATCTGCTGCAAACTGAAGCTGCAGCTCAGTGACAATTTGAATCAGCCTCGGTCAGCGGCAGCCTCCACCCTCGTCCCATCCTTGGATTAGAGCTCCTTTGTGCTTGCACTTGGCTGACCCTGAGGTGAGCTGCTGCAGGGGGCTAAACCAAGGGAGAAATAGCAGTATTGAGCAAAAGAGGTGGGAGCTGTGTGTGTGCTCACTGCATGTTAGCTTGGACAAGCGAGAGGTGCTACAAGCACCGCTGCTAGGTGGTTGTGTGTCAGGTGGTCAAAGCACTGTCAGCTCAGATAAAATCACAGACCAATATGGTAATTTTGCCAATACTGTTCATTTTCCCTCTTCGTCATCAAAGAGAGAAATGTGCACAAGGGCATGGGTATGTGTTGTGGAGTGTTGCAATGTTTTCTGTACAGTAGAGCAAGGGGTTAAGAAACTAGCTTGCTTTTGGAGTAGAAGGTGCTTTGGATTGCCATGATCATTTTTGTTTCTGAGGCTTTTAAAATTCTTTAAAAGCTAACTGGACTAGGAAAGTTTCACTGAACTGGCCGTTGTATAAATAAAGCGAGAGAAATGTGGTATGCAAATGTTCTAGGGCCTTGAACTTGACCTGGAACTTGACCTGGATATCAAAATGCATCCTCCTGTGTGGTGAGGTTCTCTCTAATCTTTCAAAATAGTGAGGTCCAGGATAAACTCTGAATTTCATTGCAATGCAGAACAGAGAGCCAGCAATGCCTTAACTATAATCTGTAATTCTTTAGTGCTTTGACTTACTGAGTCTGTAATTTTTCCAGTTTACGAAGGTAAGGATCTTCATTTTCCCACGATTTACTGAAGATAAATGACTGGCCAATATTTTTAAAGTTCTGTGAAAATAAAAACATCAATTAATGTGCCATAAGTACATTTAAGAAATTACTGGAGGAAGGGTTCATGTGATGTAGATATTCACATTCTGATATTTCACTGAAACCAAGAACAAAGTCAAAGATTGAAGTAGATTTAATACAGGAAGATACCTGGTACTCTTCCTGTCCTGTCCTGTCTGGTAAAGTGTGCGACTGTAGATTCTTGGAGCCGTAGGAAATGCTTGTGCAGATACCCAGGAGTGATGAGTTTATACTTGCAGTGTGCGAGTACTTCAGTATTGTTTAGTTGTCCAAGCTTTTCCCTCTCTGTGATGCTGGAAAATTTAAGGATATCCTTTTGCTGTAGCAGCAGTGTTTGTTTTCTTGGATATATCCTCTCAACCTCTATTCCTGGCTCTGTTTCACCAGTGTTTCCCTGCCAAGAGCTCTTGGGGGGGAGGAGGGGACGCTTGTGTAATTGACACCCACTGCACTCACATCCATAGGAGGGGACCTTAAAGGCAGCGGAGTAGCTGAAATCTCCTCTTTACGTTGGGTATATTTGTAGGGCAAGGGTTTTGGGTCACTTTCCGCAACATTCTCAGTCTGAACTGGTCCAGGCTTTATTATGGACTTTTGGCCATGGAAATAATAGCGGTGCCTGAACAGGACAGAGGTTCATGCTAAGCAGTGGTCCTGGTGAAGTTAGCTGTGTTTGGTCCACCAGTTAGGAAACGAGTAGAATCACTGGTGGTGCCTGTGGAATTTTCTCTTTTCTTAGCTATTTATTTTTATTAGTGAGAAATCCTGTGTTTCGGCAGGGGGCATTAAGACATCCCTTGACTTGTTCCTTTTCTCTTACGAGTTGGTGTGGAACATGGACCAGCAGTGGTGCCTTGACACCTGAGGTCAGAAGCTTCCTGGGCCGTGCGAACGGGACCCCAGCCGAGAGGTGGAGGGAAGTGGTTATTTCCCTCTACTCATCAGTTGAGAGCCATCATCTAAAGTACCCTGTGCAGTTTTGCGTGCTCCTGCCACCCCTTCATAGGCGTTACAAGGACAGACTGGGTTTACTCCTGAGTGGAGTTAAGGTTTAGTTGATTTAGGTTTTTTTGAAGGGAGGTAGGAGAACAAACAAGACCATAGCTAGTAAAACTTGGGAACTTTGAGGTCGATCAGAAGAATGAGTGGCAGTAAAAGAATAGAGAAAGGCTGATTTTTTTTTTTAATTTTATTTTTTCTTTTGGGAGGGTTGGAGAAAAGTAGGAGGCTTCAGTCAGAAAGAGCTGAGCATTGACAGGAACTTAGTTTTCAGAAAAAGCTCATAAGTTTTTGTAAGGTGGAAGCAATCAAAAGCAAATTTGCTTGTACACATACACATGTGCATGCAGGTGTGTGTGTCTGCAGAGCAAAACAAGAAAATCCTGACTTAAAAACTGAGTTGCCTTCAAAAAGGTATAGTGTTCATGATGTACTTGGAATGAGACAATCGACTTGTGTTGCTTAAAGTTTCTTCGTGGTGATATTGAGCGCACTAACTTGCACATGATTTTATTGCTCTTGTAAAAAACAGCTACTGAAAATTTGTGATCCAAATATTTTGATTGTGAAATTATTTGTTTCCTGTGGATGTTTTTATCTCTTGCCAATTTAAACTTGTCTTTAGTTGTGAATGAAATGTAGCCTTGCTTTTTAATATAAAAAAAAATAAAAAGAAAACAGCCTTTGTTTTCCTTTATCAAAAAGAAAAAAAATTCTTTGACTACATTTGAAAGGTAAACAACATCTGATAGGACTTTGGGACTCCACTCTGATTGTGGAATGTCCTCAAATCTCTTTAGTGTCAGTAAAATTTGAGGGGTTTTGGCATCTGCAGAAATATCTTTTAGTGGCCATAGTGTGGGATAACTTGTGAAGTAAATGAATAGTGTAGAACTTCTCAATATGGAAAAGGCAGTGTACAGTCTTGAATGTTACGAAAAGGTGGATAGAGAAATGGTTCTTCTAGTAAAAGAACTAGGTGTATCAGGTGAAGGCACCATTAACGCTCTGGCCACCACCACAAAAAAAAATAAGAAAAAGAAATACGAGCACATTCTCAAACTTTTTATATCACGTGAGTCTGTAACTTGTGGAATAATGAGTGGAATCTTTATAGGGAGATTTATCAAACTTAAAAATGCTTCTTGCAGAACTATGGCCTTGAAACGGACAACATGAAGAACTTGGTTCTCAAACTGCGAGCATCCTCCAATAATCTGCAAAATTACATCAGCAGCCGAAGGAAAAGTGCAAATTATGATGGTAATACTTCACGCAAGCCTCCCAATGAATTCCTTACATCCGTGGTGGAGCTTATTGGTGCTGCTAAAGCCTTGCTTGCATGGCTGGACAGGTAAAATAATCTTCATGTTTTCATTTACTGCTATAACAAATTATTTCTCCTTGCCAGGCAGTTTCTAGCTGCGAGGTACCTAGGATATATCTACTCCTGGGTTTTTACCCTTACTAGAACAGATGAAACTGGAAGATTGCATTTAAACTTGTATTTATAAAGGTAGGGGAGATGTTTCTGATATGCCTGACTTTTTCTCCCTTTCCCCCCTTTTAAATCAGCCATCATCAGCAGATTCTGTGGTAAAAGAATTTTGTTTTACTGAAATTGCAATCTTTGCTCAGTTTCTCAAATAAGAGAGCTGAAGAGGCTCTTCCTCTGTGCGTGTTTGTGTTTTCTGCCTTTTTTTTTTTTTTTTTTCTTGGCAAGATCAGGAGGTGTTTTGTATCAGCTGCAGCGGAAGTGAGCAGGCAGCAGAGCTGATAGTGTCCTGGCTGTGATGCTGGACAGGATAATGGATCGACGTAAATTCTCCAGCCTTTTGCCAGCTTTCCTGAGAAGGAAGGTTAGGAGGAGAGCTGCATGAGGACTGTCAGCAAGGAGAGCTTTTAGCCTGGAATTGGTTCTGTTTCCTGGCCATGACATTTGACAGCTTGTGCCTCCACCTGGTCCTCCCCTGTACCCTGTTCCTGGCAGCTAACCCTAGAATTTTGTCTTGTTGCAGGGCTCCGTTTACAGGAATTGCAGACTTTTCCTCAATGAAGAACAGAATCATTCAGCTTTGCTTGGATCTCACTACTACTGTTCAGAAGGTCAGCTGACTGCTTTTCCCCTTTGCTTTCCAAAAGGGAAGGAAGGTGGGTCTTTGGGGAAGTAGCTGTGCTAACTGTGTGCAGAGTACAAGTTAGAAGACAGGGAAGGAATTGTGAGTTTCCTTCAAAGCTTGAAGCGAGTCTGTGAAGGTCTGTTCCACTTTGCCCCATTTTGTTCTGAGGTTGTGGTTCTTGTTTGTTTAGTTTAAATTTTGCTGCTGCTGGCTGCATCAGCAGTGACTGCTGTTTCATGTTTTCTTGAGCTGTAGTAGGAAGATGCTTCAGTTCTTGAAGTGGTTGCTCTGCATTTTGAAAATTGTCCAGTTCCAAAGAGCAAGTTGAATTGCCAGTGTCACTTCTAATAAATATAATTGCAGTCCACGTGACTGTATTGGCTACTAAATCTGTAATCTCAGACTTTTTAGCTCTTTTATGTCCCATTTGTACTATTGTAGCCCTCACATGGGAAATGCTGCATGTAATGTAAGGAGCTGCTGCCCAGCGGTGTGATGTTGGTGTTACGTTTCAAACCCTTCTGTTTTTCAGCTGTGTGATAAATGCTCAGTTTTGGATAGATAAAAGGGTGCATAGCACCTGCGTGACTCATGGCAAACTCCTTTTGCTCTCTGGGTGATACTGCTTGGCTTCTAAACTGTTCAGACCATATGTCAGTGCTTTATTGGGGGAACTACTATTTGCATGCTTTGGCTCTTGCAGCTCTTTGATTTCCTCAAAACTATTAGCTCATGGCTATGTAGTGTTAAAACCTTGAAGAAACCCATCCTGTGAAGTAGGTGATTCACTCCCTTCCTTTTGAGGATCGTGTCACAGGATCACGTGAGTTGTCAAGTTGTGTTGACACCCAGTTATACAAACAGGATTGTAAAAGGATAGTAACTACCCAGTATAACTTTAAAAGCACGGCTGATTGCTCATAGCCTGTCTTCCTTGGGCACTGCATGCACAATTGTAGAAAGTCAGTGATTTACAGTTACAGATTTACAGATGGCAAAGTAGAGCACTGTTTCCAGTACCAGATGGTGTTGGCTCTGGAGCACTACAGGAACTGAGATATGAAGTTGTTGAACTGTATTAATAAAACTACTAAAAATGGTGTCTAATCTGTCAGTTAGATCAGCCTTTGATGGCAGTGGAATGGAAGTTGGCAAATACAATCCTAGCCTCTTATAAAAGCATCTCTGCCAATTTGATACGAGCTATAATAAAGAATGGAATTGTTGTGTATAAAGTAAAAAAAAAAAAAAAAAATAGCCACAGGGGAGAATCAGCACTATTTCTTACTGAGATACTGCAAATGAATTAGAATTACCTGAAAATCCACTGAAATGGAAAAGAGAGACCTAGCTGATAAAACTTTAGGTGAATTTTTTTGATGTCAAAAGCTTTTAAGTATTATTAGGAAATATAGCGTAGGCATAAATAGTCAATTCTCACAGTGGAAAAAAAAAGAGCAGTATGGCTCTCATGAGGCCTGTGCTGCTCTGCATAATCATAAATGATGTCTGAAAATGAGTGAAAAATGAGGTCAGACGTTCCCGTGGTAAATGGTGATAAAATGCCAGTTCACTTCAATGACAGATGTATGGATGCAAGGAACAGAGTTTAGTCCACTGTTTCTTATGGTTTTGTGGCAAACTTTGCAGATGAAATAGTTAACAGTGTAGGTAAAATTGAAGAGGTGCAGAAGGATCTTACAGTACTAAGTGACTGGACTACGTGCTGATAAATGACGTTCACTGCTGATAAATGCAGACAAGTTGAGCAAACAAAAAACAATGCTGTTCCACAGTGATGAAGCCTACATTTGGTTTTAGTGCTCAGGAGGGATCTTGAGCCTCTTGGCTGTAGAAAATGTTATGTTAGTCCTTACTGGTATTAAGAGTTATTATGAAAACATAGCTAGCTATTTTATACATATCCTTATTATGTCCATATTTGGAAGGTTGCATGTTTCTTTTTCTGGTCTGCTGTCTTAAAAAGTACAATATAGAGCTAAAATGGAAGAGAAGAGGGGTCAAGAGCTATTGAACAGCTTCAAATGTATTTCTCAGGCATTGTAAGGTAGTTGTGCAAGCTGAGGTGTTAATGAGAGGCTAATACCTTGGAATTTCAGATGGTTTAAATGCTTGGGCTTTTTTACCCCCCTCACCTCTTAAATATTTTAAATCTTGTTTCATTATTTACCTGCTGTTTTTAACTTTTAAATCTAGGAATCTAATACTGTTCTCTAGCTCAGCTGTTCTTAGAGGGAACAATGGCTACTTCTGTGTTCTGTTAAATGAACTTGTTTCATGTATACCTGGGCTGTGTAAGTAATTCTTTGTGTGCAGTTCCCTGGCCTTCATGAATGTCATCAATAGCATATTTTATAAATCACTTATGCTATTTTGAAAAATATATTTTAGATCCGTTTTGATTCCTTGAATAGAGGGAGCACTGGAATCGATGTTTATGATGTGCAAGGCAAGCTTCTGTGCCTTGCTTTCTTCATGCCTTATTGTGCACAGCTCTGCTTTTCAGCAAAAGACTGCTGCTGTAATTGAATGCCATGTTCCTTTAGTTTTAAAGGTTTATTATTGCTTTCTACCTTGGCCAGAAAATAGTTGTTTAACAGTACACGAGCTCTGCCAGGTGAAACTAATCTGTTTAATCCCTCCAGCATGAACAACTCTTTCAGGTCAAGGTTAAGGTGTGTTAATTTTTTTTTTCTTTTCTTTTTTTTTTTTTCTTGTTGTTGCTTTTTAGGATTGCACCGTGTCTGACATGGAAGATAAAGTTCAGACTGTTGTAAGTATGAAATTCTGTTGAAACTCAGCTGCATGCACTCACATAGATTTCAGTGGCTTCTACACTAATTTTACTGATGATAGTACAACCTATATGTATCATTCAATAAAATACCTCTATGGGTTGTTTTATGAATACCTTTTGCTGTAGAGGAAATTAATGAAATTTGTGACTCAGGGGACATTGTGTGCAGCACTAGTTCACATATTCCTTAAACTTTCATTGCATAGCTACTTTTTTCAAGAGAATGCAGACTTCAAATTTTAAAGGGAGGGTAATATTGTGTAGAATGATAATCGCCTAAATAAACCAGTTTGCCTGTGGTGTGCATCATGAGATATTTAGTGCCTCTATCAATAGCTAAAGTGCCTTATTTTGATTCTTCTTCTAAAATAACTATCCTGCCTATAGAATTAAAGTTCTGTGTCTAATTGTACTAGAGCCTGAAAGATCTTAAGTTTTCAAAATCTGTTTGAAGCAGCCTTGTGACCAAATGAGCACTGTAGTGGAATGCTTTTTATATTTTGTAACAGTTAATCATCGCTTCCTGCTTTTGACATGAACCAGGCTGTGCTCTTTGATAAGGCCTTCCGCTAGGTCATAGATGCTTAGGAATTTAGTAGCACAATAACTAAAAATAATTTAGTCCATAAATAAAGAGACCACGTAAAAGGGTCTTTTTTTGCTGCCTTTTTTTTCCCTTTTATGCACACCCACTCTGGAATAGGTATTGTTGTTTGGAATTCCCTTGTTCGAGCAGTTCCTCGTATTCACGCTTGCACATTGTTTTGATTTGTTTTATTGTTGCTCTACAAATCGGATTTAAAACAAACCAAAAAAACGGTTGGAACTATTGTTTCCAGGGACCATTGTGGTCCCAAAGAACTGTCTTCCCCCACCAGCAGTGCTTCTGAATTACCGTCTGTATTGAAGCATCTGCACTGTGCGTCCGTATTGAAGGAAAAATTCTAATCCCTCTGTGAAAGTGACTTGCCTTGCTGGCTCCCAAATAGGTTATAAATAACTAGTCTGCTGTGTAATAGACCTTCTTCACCTCTCCATATACTTTTTGTAAGTTACTTTAAATGTCAATATTGTTCTGGTTTTAAAAGATACAAAAAAACGCTGTGGGATATTAGTGAAATCTGTGGGTTTAGAGAAGCCTCAGGTTTTCCAACTACAATATATATTTTTTTCTAAATAATTAGCCATTCTCATGCCTAAAAGTTTAGAAAGAGAAAGTCCTTCTACCTTTGACTTTACTGACATACACAGAGAAGGTCAAAATTTGTCTTTGCTTATAATGCTGGCTTAGGATCAATTATGGCTTGGTCAAAAGGAAATACGAGCCTTGGCTTAGTAAGCATTCCAGAAGAGGTCAGTTCAGAGGCATGAAGGAGAGAAGTAATTCTGAAACACTTAAATGCTAGATGTCTTACCCTTATGCTGTAGAGCTTTGTGTGCAAATAAGTCAAATAAGTCAGTGGTCAGCATAGTCATTTTTAATGTCTCGTAGCTTATCTTGTTCTCATAGTAAAAATGAAGAACAGTGTGAAAGTGTTAATAGCTGCCACAAGAAATCATGAAAGTATTTGATCATTTTAATGGGTTATGTTTATGCCCAAGCAAAGCAAACCCAACTGCTTTTTCCCCCCCCCCCTTTTTTTTTTCCTGTATTGTGTGTGTTGAACTTTTTCAGGACATGCTGTCACCCGTCAGTGAGTTGGCACTAGTGGAATCAGATCTCCTGTCCTGTAGGAAGACAAGCATGCTGTAGATGAGATCTGTAGAAATCAATTTTCTATTTCACTGATTCCTAATGTCACTGTATTAGTAAATCAAGTTTTAGAACTGTTTTCCATTCCATTATTGAAAGGTGAAATTGGAGGAAGCCTGAAGAGAACTTCTGAAACCATTTTTTGTGTTTTCATTGTAGTCGAAGACTTTGAATGGAATTTGTGATAAAGCCATCCGATCAACTACAGATCCATTAATGAGCCAGTGTGCTTGTCTGGAGGAGGTTCACTTAACCAACATTAAACCTGGGGAGGGCCTGGTAAGAACCGATTTTTAGAGTGTCCTGCTGAGCCTGGTGTCAATAGGTGCTCCTGCTGCATGCCCAAGTATAGCTGTGTATTTCAGAACCATGAATGTCCGGTGGGGAAACAAGAGGCAAAGAGGAAAGAACTTGAAGGATTAAATATCAAGGCATCAGTGGATGGGGAGGACTTTGTGTTTTTGAGGAACACACTTCTATTTTTGTTTATAGCAAGACCGCAAAGAATGAAGTGTTTACTTGTTTTTGTTAGCTTGAATATGAGGGGTTTTTTTTGTTGTTGTTGTTTTTTTTTTTTTTAACTGTTCAGTGGCTATGTATTGGACTACGTCAATATTACTGAATCTGTTTTGTTCAGTGTGTTCTACTCATCTGAGTCCTAGTTATGAGAAACCGAGGTTAGATGACAAATACACCGTCTGAGGAATGTACGTGTTTAGAAAGTCTTGGAGGCACTTTTGATTAAGACGTCTTTAAAAAACAACAAAAAAAAGAACACTTTCAAAGAGAGCTTTACAGCCTTATTGTGCTATAGTTTTACATAGCTTGCTGGATTTGACCAAGTCACTCATGCATTCTTGAAATTTTCAGTCCCTCCTTATTAAATGCACAAGTCACATGAAAGTAGCGTCAGCTTGGCTGGAATAAATAAAAAATGAGGAAGTAGGCACATGAAATTGGATAGACAGCCAAACTGATCCCCTTTTCAGGGGAAATATTTCACATGGAATTGTTAATAGCTTGATGGTGATCTTCATTTTAGTATTTATATGATCAACAGTGACTCCATCTGCATCTACCCTTGCATGTGCATTCAGCGTTACCAAACACAACCAAAAGGATTTAGTTCTGCTAGAGCTTTTACTGCTTATGTCAGAATTGTGGTTAGGAGGTCACTTGTGTTTTGACTTGCTGAGAGAAAGTGCAAAAGAACATGAATACGATCTGTAGTCTGCCCGTGTAAATGTGCTTTTTATGGAAAGACCTAGTGGCTATCTCGTAAAATCTGTAATGCTGCAGTGTGGGCAGGGCAGTAAAAAAATTAAAAGTGAGTTCAAGACCAAATGCTATAAACGTAGCTAAAATAAGTTTAAGGCAAAAAGCATTGAACTGCTTACAGAGAAATAATATTACAGTAAAGTGAATTATAAACTGTAAGATTTCAGTTGATCTCATGATTTCAAAATTTCCAGTGCCTCAAATTAGAAAAATATAGAGACTTAGAATGTGATATTAGATTGCACATTTATTTCCTAAGGGAAAGAAATGTGAATTTTTAAGGGTTTTTGCTAATTCTGAGTCTGGCCTATTGTGTGATTGGATATATTACATTTTTTTTATCCTTAAACTTGTTCTTCATTTTTCTACTTACATTAGGGAATGTACATCAAATCAACTTATGATGGATTGCATGTAATTACTGGAACTACAGAAAATGTAAGTGAAGCTAATACGTAAGTGCGTGTGTGTCTTTTTTGGGTTGTTTTTGTTTGTTTGTTTGTTTGTTTTTTCCCCTTCCTCCTCACTATTATTTTTTATTTTGTCTGACTGTCAATATATTACTGCTTTAAATACTATACAGCAATGGTTTATCCAGAATTTGTAAACACTTTGTGCCTGAATGTTTTACTACGTGTCTAATTAAATCAGTTCTTGCAAATGCATGAAGTGCTTGAAACAGTTGATGTTAGAATAGTTACTTTAATGAAGTACTGCATCTGTTCTGAGAGTTTATGGTATCTTGCATAACTAAGTGTGGAAGTATTCATTTGCTCTCCTTTGGCAAAGGAAATTTATCCTAATAAGAATATATAAGCCTCAACATGATAAATTCAGTAATAAGTAGTGAAATCAATAAACTATCCAGTGACAAGATTACTGTGCAGTGTAAAAAGATGATGAAAAAGTAAGACTTTAGGAGCAGTCTGCTGGAAGGAAATGGTCAGCATGACCACACAGCAGAATTCTTTTGCCATAAATGGCTGCTTATTAGTAGTAGCAGAGACTTTATTAAAGGCTTCTCTACACAAGTTAGCCCAGTGAACCTCTCTTTGGTGATTGAGGCTGGTAGATGACGGTGTAACGTTATCACTTACTCTGCGAGAGCGGGGACTGAAATTAAAAGTTGCTGAGGAAAAAGAACTGGTGGTCCTAGTTGTCTGCTTGCCAACTAAAGGGGCTGGAGAGGAGTGGGTGGAAATCTATGCCTGCAGGTCACAGTGAAAACTGAAAGCTTTTATGCCAGCTTATAATGTTGTTGGCCTGGTGTAACTCAGTGTTGGACCTGAAACACAGACCCAGTCCATTTTGAGAACAAGTAACTCTGAAAGAATGTAGCATTGAGTGCTGCCAAACTCTCTGTGCATATAGATTTCATTTTGGAGACCATAAGCAGGGTTTGTATTGCTTCTTGAGTGTTAACCAAAGCCCAGGACTTCAGCTTGTGTATAAATGCTAGTTGTTTCGGGGAAACTGTTCTCTTTGGGAAAACAAAACTGAGGGGGAGCTACAGACGATGTCTTTCTAATAGCATGAGATCATTCTGATCAGGCTGGGCCATGGGTCCATTTTTTTTTTTAGTCTTGGAATGGTGTTTTAGCAGCCATCTCCAAAAATCCCTTTATTGGAACAGGGTAGAATTGCACCAAAAGATAACAGTACTGCACATTAAAAGGAGTGGGAAAGCCCGTGCGTTTGACACCAGTCAGCTACGAGTGTTCCTGAGCTCAGCCTCCCTGTCTGTGTCTTCCTGAATTGCATTAGCCTGGATCTAAGCTTTGCTCTTGCCTCTGCTCTCACAATGCAATTGCAGCATCTAGCGTGTTAGCTGGGCTGTGATAGCAGCCTTCTGTCCGAGGTCTCCCACCCTCCTGCTGTTGATCACCCAGGGGACGCTGGAACAAGTGTTGTTTTCCGCAAACATAACTGTGACACAGAATATTTTATAGTCTTGGCTGAATCACATATACACAGCCCTCCACAAAGGCATTTCCTTGCAAAGGAAGCAAGAAGACAATGAAGAAACGGGGTTACTCATGATAGCTGGAGCCTCCCTCAAATTCCCCCACGTCTTCCCTTGTTGCACAGTTTATTCCTGCAGTTCCTTCAAATAAAGCTGTTGCTTCAGTTCTTAAGGCATGGTAAGGAGGGGCAGGATTCCTTAATCCTGGTGGCTAATTCTGGAGTCACTGAGAAGAAATGGCGGGATGGTTACCAGGTACACACGGGGAAACGGAGAACTAGTTTTGGCTCTATCTAGTATCCCTGTGGTTTACTATGCTGATATGGCTCTGCAGGTCATGTGTTGCCAGGGCTGCTATATTATGGCAGTAATCCTGTTATTAGTTACTGCAGCAATAGCTGGTGCATGGTACCTGCTGTAGATAAGGCCAAATAAATATTGACACATATCACTCACTATTCCTTCCTGATGGTTTCCCAGAGCTTGGGTTGTTTTTTTCCTTTTGTTTCAAGGAAGAAGTATTTTGGGGTATTATTCAGTATCTAAGTACATGTGATATGTACAAACACATTTTATTTGTTGACCTTATTGTGGGGTGATAACCTCATATTAAAGTTGGCAGCTCTTGTTTATGTTAGTAAATGGTCCTATTTTGTGTTTTGAAGGGATTTTGCTCTAGTCTTGTACATTCAAAACCTTAGTGAGCTTTTTTTATGCTGGTATACATTTAAAAATGAAGTTTACATAGAGGGTTAATGTGTTAGGGACAGCAATCTTCTCTCTAGTCATCTGTGTGAAACTATGGTATAAATTCCAGCTAAAGGAAAGCAAGTCCCGTGATCTGAGTACAGTGTGACCTCTGAAGATGCAGACCATATCCTTTTCTCCCCTTATTTTCAGTTCCCCCAGTATCATAAGCAAAGTGTAAGTTGCATTCTTTTGCATGTATCATCACTGATGGATATAGCGTAGCTCTTTGTATGATGCAGTTGTATGGAGATTTTCAGTGACACTCTCTTAGTTATATCTACAGCCTTCAGTATAACCTGGGCTGGGGAGGTGATGGGAGGGAGAAAGACTATTGAAACTTTTGTTTTCTGCTTTGTAGTCTCCTGCTGATCGATCTCAGAAGATTCATGCTGGTGATGAAGTGATTCAGGTTAATCAGCAAACTGTGGTTAGTAATAATTTGTCTTACCAGCCTTTCCATATGATAGTTTTGTAGTTCTACATGGATAACAGCTTTGTAACATGTGGGCTGTCCTGGTGTTTTCTGTTGAAAAAATTCTAGGGTTTTTAACATTGTTTTCATGTTGATTTGTACTTAGATTTAACATGTATTCTTTTTTTCTTAATTCTTACAGTATTTTATTGTGTGCATATAGTATTTATTAAAATCTTCCGCATAGCATTTAAGACAGACTATAAATTATTAAATATTTTCAATCTACAAAAATGCAAATAAAACCAATTTAAAAAATCAAGTATTCTTCAGATAGTTTGTAGCTGGAAACTTAGTACATTTGTAGTAAACACAGATAACGCAATTTCTTTTTAATGTTAGGAAGCAGTATCATTATGCGAGTTCATTCTGAGTGAACACTCGTGTTGCTCAACCTGAGCACATTCGTGCATCCTGCTAGGCCTGGACCTGACCTACAAACAGCAGTGCCCAAAATCTGTGTTTAATCTTATTCTTAAGCAACTCTCTTTCTCCAAAACAAAGCAAACAAAAAAAACTCCCCAAAAAGGGAGTCCAAAAATAGTTATTGTTCCCCCAGATTTTGTCTTTATTTATTTTTTTAAATCTCTTTTCTCTTTGGTTTCATGCATAAACAAATCGACTTTCAGAAAAAGTGCCACTAAATAAAAGATGCCTTTATTCTCTTCAAGGTGGGGTGGCAACTGAAACCAGTGGCTCTTTCAGTTTCGCTCCTGCTCCGCTGAAGAACTTGCGCTGGAAACCACCCCTAGTGCAGGTGAAAGGTTGGGCATGACTGTGCCAGCTGTAATGCCTGGGTGCAGGTGCCTTAGTTTTGAACCTGAGAGGGAGAACTGGCAGAAATGCTCCTCACAACGTGTGTGTTAAGCGCAGATCAAGGAGGTGTGTGCAATGGCTGTCTTTTCCAGGTTCCTAACAAAAGGAGGAATGTTTCTCCTTTTTCACACGGATCATGCCCTCTTGATACACAGGGAGTAGGTGTGTTGGGCATTTCAATCGGTCACTGGTCTTAGAAAGAACTCATCTGAGGCAAAGCTGCTGATACGTGTAGAATTCATCGGTTTGGAGTAATAAATGCTTCCCCTGTTTTACCCAAGTAGAAGAGTTTTGCTGAAATAACTTAGGTTATTCAAGATATTTGTTTTCTTGAATCCATTGTAGGGTGGAGAAAGAGATTTTTGGGGAGATTTTTAAGCTATTTGCAGAAACAAGATTTGGATGTTGAGTAAGTCGTAGATTAGGTAACAAGTAGCTGGAGAAGCTGAAGTTAACAATGCTAAATAACATGCCATCCCTCAAAGTGGTTATATGAGGGAGTGTAGGGCTTCTTACTTACAGGAGGAAATAATCTAATAGAATCTAAAATGATTACCTGAAACTCTGAATGCCTAAAAGTGAGGCAACAATGCAATGTAATAAACCAACAATAAAATGTCAAATTTGTTCAGATGGGTACTAGCAATATATTTTTGCATAGCTTCCCCTGCCCTTGTTGTTTTACTTGATGTAATTTATTCCTTCATCCTATTCCTGCCTATGCCCATGACCCAGGCATTGAGTTGTACAGGATGAGGGGCAGTGAGCTATCTTCAAGTGGTACAAATTCTGTGTGTGTTTAACATGGTGCTTTATTTGTTGTTTCTAACATTCCAGACCAGTCCTCTATCAACTTCAACCCAGTCAGCAGAAACTGCCATGGACACCTCACTGAAAAAAGAGAAACCAGCCATTTTGGATCTCTACATACCACCTCCACCAGCTGTTCCATACTCTCCTCGGTATGCAAAAAATACATACTACTGAACAAAAACGTCTTTTGTTATGCTTAGTTCTAAGCTACCTTGCTTGCTTTTAGAGGTCTGTGCAAATTAGCTTAAGGAAACTGCAGATTTCACTTTCTTCTGCTTGTTTAAATGCTTAAGTTGGTTTAGGCTTATGCTTCAATACATAAGATTATAGTAGTAGATTTTATTGTTAGAAGATTGTATGCCATATAGATCAGAGTTGTTCCCAAAGCAGTAATCAGTGTCATTGCTTATTTGTTGTGGGATTTTTTTTTGCTTTTATTTTTAAATCCAGCTGTATATAGCATAAAGTCATTTTTAATGTTTTTTTTTTTTTCCAAGTGCTCTATTTCCACCAAGTTTAGTAACTGTTGTAATAGGGTAGAAAAGAATTTACACTGAATTATTATGCACGTAAACTATAAAACACAGGAATGTTCCCACTAAAGGGAAGGGAGAGTCAGTTTTATTTTTTTTTGCAACAATGTCAACTACAAAAAGACCTGTGTATACAAGACGGAGAAGCTATGGTATGGCTAGTTTGTGTTTGCTCTCAAGTCCTTGCTCACTGATGTTAGAGACTTGACAGATGACCTGAGGATACCAAAAGGCTTTTCAGGCAGGGCATGCTTCCTGATCTGCACTGGTGCATCACATACGTAGCTCAGGACAAAAACTTGACTCACCTTTTGCTAAAAGACTCGCATGGGAAGAGTGGCCACCCTCTGTGGATCTAAAGCCTCGTATTGCACCAGAGATACTTCAGAGAAGTCTGGTTGGTCTCCAGAGTAGGATAACTTCACCAAATATCGGCCTACCTTGATTTTTCTCTGTTTTTCATGTTTATGCATGAGAAACACTTTGGATGCTCAATTCTTAAAAAATCAAGCCTCTTGTTTCTATACATAGATGTATTTTGACTTTAGCATCCATTTTACTGCTGGCATTAAGGAGACAATAGGTGTCTTCCCATCCCAAGAACCAGTCTCCACATGGTGGTGTAGTAGAGCTCTCCTCTAACATATGTTCATGATGTAGCATTACTGTGAGTTTTCAGTCTCTGAATCTCCATAAGTAGCTTCATCCCATCCACTGAGTTGGAATAATGGTCTTGGTGAAAAGCGAGAAAAAATTGTAGTAAAAAGGGTTGGTTCTGAAAAGAGCTGTTCCTGACGCTGAGAATGAGTGTGTGTTCTAGGAAGGGAGTTCCTGCAGAAATAACTCAAAAATGTGTATATGCCCTTTCAAGGGATCTCAGTACTGGATTGAGAAGAGATGGTGATAAAACTATCGGTCTTATAAGGACTGAAAAGCCCAGTCCTAAGATTGAGGTGATAGATGTGCCCATGACACACAGATGGATAAATCCTTCTACACGCTCTTGTTGGAACTGTGTATCTAGCAGTTACAGCTTTGACATCCTTAGGACTGAAAGACTCCTCATTCCACAACAGCATTTTTAAGATTGGTACATATACCTCTAAACTTCTCCATTACATTGCCATTACAATACCAGCTTATTTAAGGGGCGTGCAAGTTGGGAGTAGCTCGCTATTCTTGATAAACATGTTTAATGAAGTCTTCCATCACCTGACATGCTTTCTTCTTCAGCTTTTGTTCAGTTTGTTTGCAGAACAATGGCAGCTGGTGAAGAGCATGACTGTGAGCTTAGAAATCACTTTCAAGCTTGCACGTATCTGGAAAACCTTTAGTCACTAACTGAAGTCAAATTTCATTACAGAGATGGAAAGGGGAGTTTTGTTTATGGAGGAGGCAGCAAACCCAGTCAGCCACTATGTGGGTCCAAGGGTGCCGAATCTCCAAATTCTTTTCTGGATCAGGAAAGTCGAAGGCGAAGATTTACTATTGCTGATTCTGATCAGTTGCCTGGATATCCTGTAGAAGCAAATATACTTCCAACCAGGATGAGGGAAAAAACACAGTCCTATGGTGAGTTCATTTTTCTTCCATTATTGCTGTTCTAACTCTAAAATATGTCATTCAGCTTAGAATATTTGGCATGAGAAAACTGTTTGCTAAACTAGTTGAACATTCAGAGTAGTCATGTGGGAAGTGTGAGTGTGGGTGAAATTGTACATCTGAAATAAAATTATGTAAACATTATTTCTTTAATGAATGTCATTCAGCTGAGCTCTGATGCCACAGTTGTCCATTTCTGTGTGTCTTTTTGTATGAAGTCTGGGTTATAACTTATGGTCATTATGTTCATTAGAGTTAGAGATGAGCAAGAGCCTGCCTGTTCAATCTCAGCTTTGACTCAACTTTGACATCTTTGTTTTACTAGTCAAAGCATCTTGAAATAGTTTGGGGGGTCTTTGTTTTTGTTTTGGGGTTTTGGGGGGGGGGTTGTTTTGTTTTTCTCTGTGAGTTTAATTCCTTATTGCTGCATCTCTCTCCTTGTTTATTATGTATAGCATTTAGATTTAAATATTTAAATGATGGCTTCCTAAACTTAGTGCAATTTTCTTGTCTTTCTCCATGTTCCCTTTAGGAAAACCTCGTCCTCTGTCGATGCCTGCTGACGGGAGCTGGATAGCAGCTGCAGAACCTTTCTCAAGGCCCCGAGTACCAGGAAGAAAAGGCAAGATTTAGATCTCACCCTCCTTTCTCTATCCTTCCCTTTCCAAATCTATTGGATTCAACTGAATGGAAATGTCTAAATTAAGAATGAAGGATTGGATTAGTGTTTGCAGGTTGTTGAACTAATCCAGGATCGTGGTTTTTGTTGTAACTGTGCTAGGGTCGAACTGTTTTTTTTTTTTTTTTTTTATCTGTTTTAAAATTCATGCAAGTGTTAAAAGTAGACTGGTGTGACTAGGGCAGATCTGCGCTTGCCTCTTC